ATACACACAGACAGGGTCGTCCCAATATGCGTTTTTGCAATTTGCGTATAGGCAAAAACGCATAAATACATACACATACACATAGACATGGTCGTTACAGTATGTGTTTTTGCAATTTGCATGTTTGCAAAAACGCATAAGTGCAAAGCAGGAGACTGATGTGAATTTGCAGGTACCTGTGGAAGGTGGAATTGTGATTAACGGCAATGGAGGTCCAAGACCACTACTCTGTTGGGCGCAGTGGATGATTAGTATATGCCAATTCTTGCCACCATTCGATTCCGCCTCGTACTATCCATCTCAGGGCAAATGGGGAGAGAAGTAAGCTACCATTTGTGCAATAAAATTTCAATTTTTCAAACTCTTCTATCCCAGGCACTGCGTACTCGTACAGAGCAAGTAACCTCAAATCATCCTCTGCACTCGTTCGCGCCACTACACAAGGAGAAGGCCAACGATAAGGAGAGATGTGCATCACAAACGAAAGATTTGTTGGATTATCGTTGTATTTTTGTGTTCTCTTACTGGGAGTACTGTTTCAGTGCGACGGTTGAAATCGGAGTGGTGCTGGTCGGCGGTACTGGAGTGAGCGTGTTTCATCAAATAGAGGATGAAGAATTTAGAGATTTTGGGTTCTTCCGGTTAAAAGTAACTGTTTGTATCAATTATTCTGATGCATTTTGATGAAAAGCAAGCACTTGGTGAATGAGAAAAAGAACACAGCAAGTGAAATTTGCAGGAATTTTTGGCGGCACCTCGCAGTGGGACGAATATGTTTAAATACTGCGCTGCTGTTAAGGAAAATGCACATTCAGGAGAATACAAAAACGAGTGGGTTCCATGTTTTGGTCGAGCCGAACTGTTTTTTTTTTTTTTGTTCTAAAAGTGGCGGATATCTCCACTTAGTATCCATCACATTCGGTGTATGTATGCGCTATCATTTATAAGCTGTAAGTTTAAAATAAGAATTCACTACAACCACAGACTGCACACCTATGATATTTTGTTTTCAGGACACTCTTCCCGAATGTTCCAGTATTCACCATAAAGCATCCAAGAGCGAGCGTAGGATTTCTGATGCGGAATAGTTCGCCGCGTAAATTTCCTGGTGCAGAGCTGGTTCTTACATTTGATAAAACTACCCGCTGAAACTGTTTTCTATGAAATATCTTTGGATGAGTCGAATCAGCTCATTCGAGTGCTTGTTGCTTTCTTTTATGTAATAAATATAGTTGAATTGTGCAATCGTAACTCGACAAATTTGCCGGCTCAATTCAAGCTGAATTTCTTCAGCCGAACACTTTAACGCGCAGGATCATTTTCAGAGTTTTCACAGTCTCTGAGAGAATAATTAAATTAAAAGTACATTTTCTCCGATGAAACATGCACTGACCAAAAACATTGCATTTTCATGCGCTTCTGCACCGGCAATGATATCCAGCCTTGCATGTGTTTATGTGCACGCATCTGCACACGTGTGTGCATGCTCCTGTGTGTTTGCGCTTTTGGATGTGTGCGCTTGTGTGTGTTCTGTATTTGTCTATGTGGGCGCGTATGTGCACGTGTATGCGCATGTGTGTGCGTATGTGTACGAATATGATTACTTTTTACACGTATCGTAAAGACAAAGGATGGTAACTGGCTATCTAATAGCTTTCACATGTCGGACTGTTGGAAGTTAAGGTAAGATAGACACGAACCTGGCCTCGTTACTTCGTTACATGGGTGAAAAAATTAATTTTCCAAGCATTTTCTTTAAGAACTTGCTGTTACGTAAAGTTAAGCACTGGCAATATGGTAAAAAACCCATAATGTTTGCTCATCTTTTTTTGCGTTCTTACATTTCGCCAGCATCGGCGACTTGCAACTCATTTCACTTAGTATGCCTTTTTGTGCGTTTTTTCTGGGCAGCGCTATAGCTGAAACCAGGAAAAACGCACTTTGTCAAAAGGTCGTCTGTGTGTGTATGTTCGGAAGCGAGTGAACTTAGTCGCCCACATTCGTCTCAGCAACAAGGAAAGCTCGGAGACTAAAATTTTGTGTGTATCTTCCTATCGCGTGTGTCATCCTCGTGTTTTGAAATTTTCGCTCACACGCGCCTAGGGGTTACTTTTAAAGAACGACTGTTAAATGAAAATTGTACATTTACTTTATGCAAAATTTATTGTG